ATTATTATTAAAATTGACAAAAATGGCGAAAAGGTAATAGGTTTCTAAGATCGGTCCTTTCAAGATCGTATCAAATTTTGTATTTGATAGTCTTCGATGGAAATGATTTATTAGAATTATAACAGTACTTTGAATATAAGTATAAACATTATTTTAGAAATAGATTGTTAAGTATTATCTTGTATCGCAGCATGATTTATTATTAAAATTGATAAAAATTGGGAAAAACTCGATTCATGATCTATAGACTCTTCATCAAAATGGAGGCAACACGAAATTTTTACTCGCTGATCGAAAAAATTGAATTGGGAATTTATGTCGCAGCGAGATATTCGTTACTTAAGCTCCAAGGTATTAAAATAAACGATGACTCAGAGTCATTGCTGGAGTGCAGAGGCTTAAGGGGGTCTTCTGGTATCTTGCTCCATTTTTCCCAGTATCTTCGAAAAATTATTGCGAGGAACCATTAAGACCTTATGTTTCGAAATTCACAGGGCTTGTTGGTACAGTCTTGGACTACGTGTGTTGCATTTTTTGATAAGAAAGATTGAAAATTTCCGGTGTTACTCGCAGTTGCCTGAAGAGCCTCTTAAAAATCGGTTATTGATGGTGTCCGTAATTCAGGCTCTTCCTGCTATCTGAAATAAAAAAAACTCAACAGGATTCTTGTTAAGCGTGAGTACAGTTGCTAAATACGACTACAGACTGTTACCAAAAAGAATAAAAAGTAAATGGAGGCACTCTGAATATATTTTACCGATTTTTTACTCTCTTTTTAAACATAGGAACATGAAAAGGATAGAAAGAAGGCGAATTTTTGAATAATTTTAGTAACGACTATAACCACAAATATACTGAACATTTGTGTAAAATTTCGTGCTAATCTATCGAACGCTTTTTGAAAAATCCCGGATACCGTCTTGAAAAACACAGTTTCAGAAATTTCGTTTAAAATTTCACGTTTTCCCCTTATCGAAGCAGCTATAACTTCGTTATTTGTAAGAACTCGAGTTTAATATTCAGGGAAAGTATATTTGAAAACGCGTAGCTTAAGAAAAAAAGAAAGAAGGGAAATGAGAATAGTAGAAAATCCCCATAAGTCCTTCCTGGCAACACCCTGCGTATTTTCTCCGCGTGAAATCGTGTCCGATTCGTTTAGATCGCTCTTTGATCTAGATCGTTCGCTGGTATTCAACGAATTCGAACAATTGACCGGTCTACATGTGCTTTCGTTTCCGTGATAAGGAATACAGAACAAATATAGCAATAAAACACAGAGGTTTAATGGCCGTATTGAAACAGTGGCAACAGTGGCCGCGTTCACAATTTCCTCGTCGGTTCCCGCCGTTTTTCTCTCGATCGCCTACGCGATCGATGTTCTCGCGCGCGTTTCGTGTTTTCCGGGAAATAGCGGATAATTGGCAATTACGTTGGACGGAAAATTTTCTCGGTTCAGTGTTGTACCAGCACGCTTGTTATTAGCGTTATAAAAGCGGGAACGTGATGGAATTAATAATTATTTCGCTGGAGGTCGATTTGCATTTTAATGGCCGCGGTATAAAGGATCTACTTGTTTACAGCTTATATTCGATTATTTCGTTTCTGTTTTAGGAAACGCGCGCGTGCTATCAATTGAAAAATTATCTAAAAATCACCATCTATTCGTTTCCTTTTCCTCAGGCCTTTTCTTTTTTTTTATTTATTGGCAAAGAATCTTATTAGGATTGTGGTTATACGTACCACAGTCTCACGTTCGATCTTGATCTTCGCGTAAGTGTTCGCGAGGTTACTAGACACGCAAAAAGCCCAATTATCTATTTCGCTTTCTATATTTGCATCGAGAAACTTTCGTGGCGAATTCAGACCAACTAGATCGAGTTAGTTGCCGATTTTGCTGCTAGGATCGAGTCGAATATCGGTCTGACACATCTGCGGGAAAAAAGGATACGTAAGAAACATCGTATGAAATCTGCAGTTGTTTCTAACGCGAATTCGAAAGTGCTGCCGAGCATCTTTTTATTGACAATTGCATAATGGAATGTGGAGGGACAGCATTGCGCCTTCGCTTCCGTAAGTCAGTCATTTCTTTCATTGACAGCAGGATGATACGTAAAAAGATTGGAAAGATTTGAAACTTTTCATCGTAAGCAACGAGAAAAGGTCGCAAGAAAGCGTTATTTATTTTTAACACGAACGGTAGGCGATTGTGTAAAATGTGCAGCAGGTGTTTTCACTTTGCGAAACAAGATAAACGCGACGATAAAAAGGAAAAAAAAAAAGGAAAGAAATCCAAAGGACCATGCGTTTCGTTTGTCGTCCACAGTGTACTGATGATCCGCGTGAGTACCGTTTACGTGAAAACGATGTTAACGAGGCGCACGTAAATTTTCGTGTGTTGGATGATTAACGATCTTCAAAGCGGAGAAAGAGCGGGGAAAAAATTTACTCTTTGTCCTAGCCGTCGTCGTACGAGATTGCACAATAAATATGGCCATGAATGTCGCCCGAAATGCATAATACATGTGTATGTACCGTGAGTACAGATGTTTAACATATATATTCTTGGAAAGACTTGCCAACTCTCTGTGAACAAATTTTTGCTCCTCTATGATGGGAAAAATGATAAAAATTTCGATCGTTTGGTATCAATACAATGAAACATCGATAAATTATCCGAATGAGAAAATTAAATAAATAAAATTTCAATGAGTATGCAATTTGGAAGTCGCATGATGGTATACAGGGTTGAGAAAATCATTAAGAAAATAACTAAACTGTATAAAATATTATTATTACGCTTCGAGATACAAAGTTGCTGGCGTTAATGGCGTTTATCTTGCCGCGTGTTGTTTTGACGTGCAAATAATTTTGACGTTAGACAATAATTTAATTTAGTATCGCATGTCACTACCGTTTATCTCCAGCTCGACATATAACTTATAGCGGAATAGCCATGTTAACAGATATCACTACGTTTGCGTTTCAAATTCATATTACGCGGGTACTCTAAGTTTACTACGTGTCCCATGACACAGGTATTCTTTAAACGTTTACGTGCCTAACGGTGCGAAATTTTTAAAACACTGACACTGAATTTTAGCGCGAATTTTTCCTGTCGGGTTATAAGAACGAGCATCAAATTGGAAGGTAAACAAAGGAAAATATTTAACTTCCAAGGAGTCGACATTATTCGAGTAATTTAGAGCAGTATTCAAAATGGCGTTACGTGTCAGGGTAAACAAGAATAATATTTAAATAATGCAATAATACGAAAATAGTATAACCGATAATACATTCGTTCTTAGAATTATTATTTCTATGAAATTTTATAGAAATACTAATAATATAATAATTAGTATTCTCTGCAATTTTATAGAAATACTAACAGTATGATAATGATGAGTATGATTCAAACGAGTGACTGCTTACTACTCCATACGTAATTAGTTCATATTAATAAATTGTACGAAAATTCCTCATGCAAATTAATGAATATATACTAATTGGCATCTGAATGTTCACAGGTAAACAGATGGAAGATCGCAAGCAAAAGGAGTTGACGAAAATTGGTATAACACGTGCAAGATGATAAGAGCTACAAAATACGCTTGTAGATACCGACCCGCTAAATTGCAAACTTGTTTGAATGGGTTAACGACGTGAAATTTCGAAAGCAGTGGGCCGTTGCTCTCGTATTAAATGGATGTCGATAAACAAAAGACTTTCAACGCTTCCTTCTATCATTTCTCCCGATGGCCCTCCGCTCTATTCACTGTCACGCATACGTACCTGTCCACCATTAACGAACACTGTAATATGAACTTCCTCGGTTCTTCTGCCCGGTCACTTCCTGCATACAGGTAACGTGTCTTCTACCATACGCTTTTCTTCGTCGTAGCAAGTTTAACGCGAAAAAATCGTTTCTTTCCTGATTTTCTCCATTTTTCTAAGCGTCGAAGACTCGGGTCGTTAACATGTTAATCGAGAAATGCTAATTCGAATTACTGATACTTTCATTCTGGCGATTTATTCGCAGATCCTTATTTCGTTCTATTCACGTAAAATATAAACTACGTACTGTGATTAAATTCAATTTAAATTAATTTTTAGCCCCGAGACGAAAGAAGCTGCTGAACGAGGAACAATCGATGCAACGCTTAACATTCTCGTACGATTCGAAATAGAGTGGAGTGAAATGTACAGGTAATTCGGTGTAATTAAGGAGGATAATTAATCGTTTTGCTATCCGGGATTAATTAAGTAGCTGTACAGTGTAAAAGTAGGTGGGAACTGGTACAAGAAAGCCAAGTCGATCATTTACAGCTGACGTGTCATGTAAATTCCGAGACGTTGCTTATTAACGTGTTTCTCTTTCTTTCTTCCTTTCTTTCTTTTCGAGAGCGAGACGGCTGTTTGTTATTCGCGGATTTAGTCTTTCTGAAACGCTGGCGTGTCAGTACATAGCTGCTGCGCATTTTCCAGAAAAGAAAATACAAGCTTATGCAGAGTTGCTCACGGCGCGTTGCGATTCGCGAGCCAGTGAATGAACAGAGCGTTTATTCGAACGTGGTTCTTTACATAATTTCTCTCTTTCCTTCGCGTTAAATAACGATTCACCAGCTGCTGAACGCGATAATCTCGCCACGTTATATATAAAAGCGAAATACAAAGTGTTTCGATTCGACTTTTGCTTCGACAACTAGGAACAGGAATTTTCTCTTCATTTTCGGAGAATTACAGTTTTCAAAGATTAACGATATCGGGCACAATGTTCGTTTTATGTAACACACGAGCATGTAACATATAAATGCGAATTCAAATCGTGTATTATAAGAATGTTGTTTACGATGATAAGGATGTAAATAATGAAAGTAATTGTACGCTTGGTATCGTATTTGCGGTAGAAACGATAAAACTCTTTGGCCAAATAATATGGAAAGGTACACATTATAAGGACTGCCGTTACGCAGATATTCAGGTGCTTTCTGTTGCGTAATTTCTGTCGATTATGGTACCCGTTTGATCCGTTCCATGCTTAATAAACAACTCGACGTTCTATTAACCTCGGGAAACTTATTATTTTACGAATAATCGCGCATTTAGAATCTTGGCAAATAACGTAATTTACATTGTAGCCTGAAAGTATACTATCGCTTCTATTATTCACGGTGTATCGAAGGAAATAAAACAAGAAATAGCGTAATATCCTATTTCGTGCTTTTAACGAGAGTTTTATGAAAGATATTTTCCATTGTCTTATCAGGTTTCATTTACGACTCTCGTAAGGGCTATTCTCAATGATATTCGCAATTCCGAGGTAGAAATAATATTTAAATTTAAATATTTCATAAACGTGTTTTCATTTAAAACAGGTCTTAAAGAGAAAAAATCAGAGCTTCCGGACAGTAGCGTATTTCTTTAGTATTACATTCCTATTATCATAGTCATCGATATCCTTTATACGATTTAACAATCCCTACCAATCGCATCGAAGTGCGTGTTATTTCACGAGTGATACATTTCTTGTAAACGTGATATATTTCAGGCCGCAGCAACACATTTATAACACCGTTATTCATTCTGCTATCACGCGACCGCTATTTACATCTCGGCGAAGAGAAAATGCTTTAATCGCCTTTCCCGAAAACCGTCGGTGCCTTTCCAATTACGCCGCTCCTGCCGCGAAGCGAGCCTGCACGCATGCAGCTCGCGCATGCGGCGCGCGCATGCGCGGGCACGCGTGCGCGCTGAATAACCATATGTCCTTTAAAAGTACACCAGTGAGAGTTGCACGTTCAAAAAGCGGTACTGTCTCTCTTTCAGGGGTTCGTCCGTACGTCTCGTTGATGCAATTTTGCCAAAGCAGGGGAAAAACGGAATACGAAACGGGTCGATGGAGGGAGTGGAGGAGCTGCTAGCGGAGGCCAGGGAACGAGAAAAACATTGCAAAACTCGGGCTCGAGCGTTGATCCCCACATGGGGATACGTGCGGCGCGAGAACGGCTCGATGGTGGGGTACAGGTTCGTACACACACGCGTACTCGCTTATACACTGGCACACAGTTATAAACATTTCGGTCTCGCCCACAGGTACACGCTGCGCTGTTTAGAAAGTCCGACAACGAGAACACGCTGAGGTACACCTTGGTACCAGAAGACATACCCATCGGAAAGGTGTACCAGAAGGTTCAGCAACTTCAACTGCTGGTGGGGGTAACCCTAAGCTAGCGGTGTCAGACGGTGCCGGCCGCTCACTGCTCGTCGATTCGCCGAGCGACCGACATCGAGTGTTCTCGTCGATCGAGGGAATAGGGAGAGAGGATTTTTCAAGAGATACAGCAAGGGTACCATCGTAGTCGGAGTCGATCAGTCAGTCAGTGCTTTAGGGAAAAGCAACCGTCGCTGTCGTGTCCGAGAAGATGGCTCATCCGCCTCATAGTAATTACGCGCCCAGCGAGGTCTACTCCTCCACAGAACCGCCACCGGTAAGCGTTCAGATCTCTTCTCGGATGAGAAACTCCCGTTAGCGGGGTCAGGGAAATGTCTGTTTTCATGGAAGCTCGACGGGTTAAAGAGTTTCTTTCCTTCCCGAGTACCAGGCCTTGGATCGAGGTTGTCTGGTCAATGTATTCTACGCCTCATCGAGATTCAGATTTATTTACCAATACCTAGCGGTATTTATTTAATAGTAAAGGTTCTTCTAGAAGAATCTATAAAGTCCTAAATCGTTGCGTACATCGTTGAATCAATGGATCTAGGTTAGTATTGGTTCTTCATCTTTTACAGATGTCGCACCGTTCGGTTCAGTTCCGTTTAGGTGTTCGATTATGATTTTGAAAGATAACCATAAGTAATCGAGTATTTTACCCAGAAACCAACGTACCAGGTAGAATTTGCTGTTTAAAAACAATTCGACATGGTACGTGACTACGAAACATGGGATTGTTCGAGTATCGATAACGATCACGTTGGCGGCAGTATTGTTGATGATTGCCAATTAATTTTTCCTTTTCTCGATCCACGATTGACACAGTTAGAAAATACTCGAAAACTCGAGTCTTATACTTCGATCTTACGAACATTTTGATAGATGGTACGGGATAAAACGCTTGTGGTACCCAGTGAGAACATCTGAACAAAGAAATTATTCAGACGGTTAGAATGGCGAGTAATTAGCAATTTTCATTTTTTCCCCGTTTTCTTTCCTCCGTTATATAATGTAAGTCTCGTTAGCGTTGATTTATACATCGTATCTCGATCTCTGGACGAGATTTCGCGGTTGATACAATTACCGTCATGCTGACCACAATTGGTGGAATAAAACGAGCTTGCGTAAAAGTATATGTACGATTTCGATCGAATGTCGATCTATTTATTCTCGATCGATTAAACACACAGCGTAAATGGCGTTCGAAAATGGCCGACAATAAAATCCGCAACAATAATAAAACGCGTTGAACAGATTAGCTTTACGCGCGTGTTATGCACATCGAGGACACAGAATTGCCACGACAAAATTGTAAAAACGTATACAAGGACACGATTATGAGAATAAATTAACATTATTCTCGCGCAAGATGACGTGATTTTATTCATCGAGCTGTTTCTTCGACAATAATTTCGACCACTACCTCAGGCAACGAAACCTACTTCGCAGTTAGGGGATTACTCAAAAGCTGTCTTTTCATTTCCATATTTCTCGCACGGCGGAAAAGGAATGTACAAACGAATAAATTTTTACTGTCACGAGCAAACGTGGACTCGTGGGATCCATAAATGTCAGGGAATAGATTTCTGTTAACTGTACAAAGTCAGAAAGAAGCGTTCAATCGTGTTATTCGTATGCTACTTAAAATTCTACTCGTTGCAACAGATTTCGACTGACATCGGAATAAAAAAGAATCGAGTCTCTGACTTCCAGTCTATTAGCATTACCGAAAACATACAGTCCGTTTTGTCCGACATGGTTATACGTATGTACCTATTTACTCTCGTCAAACGACTTCGGTTATGGTTATCTACGTGTTACGTTCAAGTACACGCCACGTCTGTAGTCCCACCGTTAATTTCGTCCCAAATCCAATCGAGACTTTCCTGCTCGCATGAATCTTCTCTTTGTAACGCGAGGGATTATATAACGGAAAAACTGGGGGAAGGAATGATAAACGTAAAACAATTTGTGGCACGTAAACGCGAGAGGCCGATTATGGGAATTAGTTCTGCTTATCAGTCGGGTTTTGTAAATTACAGGATAGATGGAGATATTCCGTCGTGGCAGCGGAAACGATAAAGTATGCCGAGACAAAAATCCCGCTCCGATACAATTCCGAATCGCGAGCGTTGCGCGCGGGGCCATTTTATAAAAGAGCGCGGAAATCCGTGGGGCAACAGCCACTTCCGTGAAAGTTCCTGGCCAAGCTCGATCGCTGTGATACCACACGCGCTCGCCCGTTTGTTTGCTTGATCGATCATAAGGTTGCGTACGAAAACGGAAGAGACGTATAGGCAAGGCTGTCCCGTTCGAGTCTTACCGCCCCGTAATTTCCGCCAGCACGATATCCTGTGACTGGATAAGGATTAACCGGACTCGGAACGTGTTTCCAGCGAGGAGATCGATCTTTCCACGAATTGGAACAACGGGTACCAGTGAAAGAATTCGTCGCTTAATTAGCGGCCAACTTTCTCTCACGGTAATCGGCGCAATTGTTAAAACTATCGGTGTAAAATGAAAGTCTCCGAGGAATAAGTGGATTGATCGGAGAATATGGATTGTTTTAAGGCTCATTGTCAGTGAGTTTTAGCATCGGTGTATGATTTTTATTGTCTCGCGTTTGAAGAAATTTTAAATCGACAATGAAGCTTCGCGTTTGATGTTTCTTGTAGATCGATGCCAGAATTTTTCTTAAATTGTTTTTAAACAATGTGTCTTGGTATTCGTTATTTTGAGGAGACTCTGAATATTTTTAATATTACGGAGTGTTAAGTTTAGCTTAACGAAGACTAAATTTCACCCCATTTTTAAATTTTGTCTTTGAAGAATATTTCTAATCCATGACGAAGATTTATTTTGCACGTATTAAAGTGTTTAAAGTTAGTTTATCAAAGTTCATTTCGATATTTCTTGCAAATCAATGCCTAAATTTTCCTGCGTTTTTAAATTTTGTTTCGGCACTGTTTATTTTAAGGAAACTTCGAATATTATTAATATTATGGAGTGTTAAGTTTAGCTTAACGAAGACCAAATTTTGCTTTATTTTTAAATTTCGTCTTTGAAAAATATTTTTAATCGATGACGAAGATTTATTTTGCACATGTCGAAGTGTTAAAGTTAATTTAACAAAGTCCATTCCGATGTTTATTGCAAATCGATGCTTCAATTTTTCTTCAATTATTTCTAAATTATGTTTTGGTACTCTTTATTTTGAATAGACTCCGAATACTTTTAATATTATGGAGTGTTAAGTTTAACTTAACGAAGACCAAATTTCACGTCATTTTTAAATTTCGTCTTTGAAGAATATTTTTAATCGATAATGTAGATTTATTTTGCACATGTCGAAGTGTTCAAAGTTAGTTCAACAAAGTCCACTTCTTTTTACATACTGTTCTTTAACGAAGCATTAAATGTACGGTTATGTGCGGATGTATTGCTGGCATATGAACAGATTCTTCAGTTTCACTGGAAATAACACGTGTTTGAGGATAATAAAAGGAGAATAATTTGACGTTTAATTATCCACTGGAAAATACAGTTGCGCTAGGAAATCGCAGAGAAATGGATGATACTTAAGGGACGTAAATGACAGTCCTCGTAATTCATGTTTACCATGGAAGCCCGTTCATATGTGCATCCGTTTCAAGTAAATAAATGCACTGTCATTGACGAGTAATTTCTCAACGATAGTTCGAGAAAACAGTTAGCCTGTGTTGCAAAAAGTGAACCTCCGTGAGAACCTTCTTTAAACGTAGACTCTGAGAAATACTTGGTAAACAGTCAAACAGTTGTACTTGTTGAACATAAAATAATATTCCACTGAAATTTTTCACTTCGAATATACTTATCTCTTTAATTTAAATATTATTCGTTTTACTCTTCACGATATATCATTTATTTATTCTCTATTTCTATTTAAAAAACGTTACGATTGTATGTTTAATGAGTATCATTTCCATTATATTTTCAGGTACGACTTCATTCGATGTACATTACATTACACTCGTAGATAATTTAACTTTCATGTTTCGTTAGCGTGACGCTATACTTTCTGAAAAATCATGCACGACGTAGTTTCATTTTCAACCTCGTCTACGCTTTTCTTCCTTTTTTTCATTCCTTTATTTCATTAAAACCGGAAACTTTCTACCGACTCGAGAACGCGGCCACTGTTAGAAACTGCCATAGCTACCGTTTAAACGGCCTTTTGTTTCTTTATTCTCACGTGTTATGATTCGAATGTTCAAAATGTTCAACGATGTCATGTCTGTTTCGAATTACTTGCACTGAAAATTACTCCTCTCTAAGTACCGTAGCAAAAGAACGGAATATGTGTCCTTCCATTCATGATCTTCGATAGCATTTCATTTTTTCCTATGCTTATTTGTGAAAAGGAATCTTACATTTTTTCACGAATTTCTTCTTCGTTATAAAATTATACATTTATATCATTTACTCCATTTTTAAGCAATTCAAACTTATATTTTTATTTCCAAAGTAAGGTCACCAGGGCACGAAAAATGAAATCATCATTTCTCGATATAAAATTATACATTTTTATCATTTGGTGAATTTTTAAGCACTGTCAATTTCTATTTTTATTTCCAAAGTAAAGTCACTAAAGCATACGAAATGGAATCACCATTCTTCGCTATAAAATTATACATTTTTATCATTTGGTGAATTTTTAAGCACTGTAAATTTCTATTTTTATTTCCAAAGTAAAGTCACTAAAGCATACGAAATGGAATCACCATTCTTCGCTATAAAATTATACATTTTTATCATTCGTTGCATTTTTAAGCAATTCAAACTTATATTTTTATTTCCAAAGTAAGATCACTAAAGCATACGAAATGGAATCATCATTCTTCGCTATAAAATTATACATTTTTATCGTTTACTGCATTTTTAAGCAATTCAAACTTATATTTTTATTTCCAAAGTAAGGTAACCAGGGCACGAAAAATGAAATCATCATTCTTCGCTATAAAATTATACATTTTTATCATTTGGTGAATTTTTAAACACTGTAAATTTCTATTTTTATTTCCAAAGTAAAGTCACTAATGCATACGAAATGGAATCAGCATTCTTCGCTATAAAATTATACATTTATATCATTTAGTGCATTTTTAAGCAATTCAAACTTATATTTTTATTTCCAAAATAAGGTATCCAGAGCATGAAGAATGAAATCATCATTCTTCGCTGTAAAATTATACATTTGTACCATTTGGTACATTTTTAACCACTTCAAACTTGTATAAT